TGAATGATAACTCTAACATTTTTAGGCCTTTAAAACAACGCGCCGATAAAAATACTATTTTTGGTCGTCTACGATATTTATAAATAAACGATGTTTTGTTAAAAGCCTTTAAACTGAAATTGTATCTTTATTCAAATAAAGCAATTTTGTAGCTTGGACGTAATAACTGTCTGAGCATTTACACAAAATTATCAAAGAAAGGAATCTGTCGTGTAACGCTGTAAAGAGATTTGCTTCGCGCAACGTCAGGAGTCATTGTTATCTTACACTGTTCAGCTCGAAATTCTTTAAATGTTAGCCTTATCTACAGACACCTGAAGAAGGCCGGAGAGTAAAACGACCGAAATATTATGATAATAACAATAAAGATGGGGAACATTAGTCCGCATGTAAATTCTCTTTATTTAATTTCAGGCGATTAAACACTACACCTCAGTCTGCGATAAAAATTCCAAAGCCTTAAGACTTCTTTCAATTGTGTACAAACTGTTTGCAACAGTCAAATTTGTGACCATGGCAACAAAATGTTTCCATCTTTTTTCCTATTATGTCTCCGCCCGCCATTATAAGTTAAAACTACAGCTGCTATGATTTATTTTTTTAATATGCCTTAGTTTTTTTTAGTTTTTTAAAATCTTTTTGATATGCAGCCGTCTAGGTTTTAATTTCCTTTAGTATTCGTTATCGCTCAAAATTTTCTCTCGCAAATATGACTAGCAATTGCAGGTGTAATGTTGTTGCAACAACGACTATTAATGTATCTAAGAAATTTGTTTTCGAAGCATAAATTTGAACAAGTCTGACGCATCTTTATGTATTTTAAGGAAGAAAATTATATACGCACACACACACACACATATATATATTTATATATATAATTTATATATTTAATCAATTTCAACACGTACAAGGCAGTAAAGCCATTGAGATGCAAGGGTTTACTTGGTGTGGAAAAGTTAGAAACAGGGAGATTGCTAAGGAACGGGAACAAGAAGATTGACAGTAGATAGCGATTGACATTGAATTTAAATCTTTGAGGATTAAAATTTGCTGGAAAGTATGGGACCGGAAGGAAGTTCCACAAGTGAGAAAAGAAACTATTAACATAGAATTTACGGTTACCCCTTATCTAATTCTACTGTAAATTGATGTGACCTGCGCTTAAATTCATATAGTCTAGGTAATATAGCAAACAGCTCATTCGAACACTTAACATGAAAGTTGTTATAGAATATGCAAACAGAAGTAACTTTACCGCGGTGGGAATGTGATTGAAGCCAAGACGCCAGATCAGGGCCAATAATATTGCTGATTCTCCTTTGGATTTTATCAAGGAGCTCCATATAAATGTCATGAGCACCGGACCATATGTTGAAGCAATATTCTAAGCATGGACGAATGGTAGAATTATATATATATATATATATATATATATTATTTATTTAAAATATTATTCCAAACACACACACACACACACACACACACACACACACACACACACACACATACATATATATATATATATATATATATATATATATATATATATATATATATAACTATGAACCTAAAGAGCCAGTGTACCCTGACGATCCGCGTAATTGAAACCTAGGTAGGTTTGCCTGGCTCTTTATGTTCATAGTTAGATTTGCTCAACTTAGTGTATTGAGCACTTTATTTAGTTACTTTTGCTTTACTCGTGTTGGAAGTTTTTTCTTTGGACTCTGAGTTTGGATTCTGGACGATTGTTTTCACCTGTTTTCACTTAGATCTTTCTTTTTTTTAGTCCTTATTTTTCGTTGGATATTGGTTTGTTCATTTACAAGCCAAAATATCTAAGATTTTTCCAGACGAGTATAATTACTTATATTTATATTATTATTTTATTATAACACACACACACACACACACACACACACACACACACACACACACACACACACACGCGCGCGCACACACACACACAAACACACACACACGCACACATATATATATATATATACATTTGGTTGGATAGATGTGAGTTGGGTTTCACGCTTTAGCGATCATCAGACAAACTGATTAATGTTTTAAAAAATTTGGGTTTATGTAGATTGCGTGTATTGGTGTTATTGTGGAAGTGGTGGGGGAAACTTTGTCATTTTGTCATTCATCGTACTAACGCAAACATCGATGTATGCAGACACATATACATACTTGGTCGTCCGTCGGGACTCATACATATATAAATATATGTAGGCAGTTTCGGCTATGATATATGTATGTATACGGGTGGTGTTATGTCTATACATACGCATTTGTATGTTGAAATGTTGAAATTTAAACATTGGAAGTGTGGCGGAAATGTCTCGTGAATGTATACATGTCATATTATGTATTTTTCCGCTGAAAAATATTTCCTCGCATGTATGTATATACGTGTGGTGGGGTTTGTGTAAAATTATGATAGGTAAAAATTATTATTATTTATATTTATTTTTAAATTTTTATGTATGTATGTATGTATGTATGTATTCTTGAGAGAAAACATTTCTCGCACAATACAGTGAATCAACTTTCCTAGCAGCTGTCCTAGCTATAGTTTCAATATAATCTTTCCACTTCATGTTAGCTTAATAGTGAACCAGTCACTCTCCAGGAGGTCAGCATCAGCTATGCTGTCGGGAGGCAGAGCGGGTTCTCTCAGACGATTAAAAGACAGCTGTTTAATTTAGAGGCGTTAGAATTAACGCGCCATCCGTTGCCCTTATTAGATGTTAGAGACTGGCGCTACATAATCTCAAAGAACTAACTAACAATAACCACATCGATTTTCAACAGCAAAAAAAAAAAAAAACTAAAGTGGGCAGAAGGTTAAACTAGAAGGAAAATAATTATATAATCGAAATGTTGACTTTTCACATTACCTTAAACAACAGGAAAAGAAGAAGACACTTATCCATACTAGAAAGAGCCATAATTAAACTCGATATGCCTATTTTACTGCCCCCCCCCCGCAACCCCCCCCAAAAAAACAGTAGCGTGAACTCTTCGGTTAATGAATGCCGAACGTTTCTAAAAGAGAACAAAGATTCTTCCAATTATCATTATCAGTCCTGGGTATGACGATAAACTACATCCGGCAGCAAGGTCTCTGATCGGGAGGTTTCCAGGAGCGTGGAACCACCTCTTGATTGCTGTTGTTCCCAGGTCCTTCTTGACCTGGGAGGCCCAAGAACAACTCGAGGAAGCGTGTTAAAGAGGTACAGTTTATGGAAATATTTGACGAAGATAACGGTTAACCCTAGACTTGAACAGGTTAAGATTATAGTGGTCGGGGAAATATCCCCTTCGGAGTCGGTTCCACGAAGCAGCAGTTCGTGGGAAGAAGCTGCTCGGGTGGAACTTACATTCCACCAATGGAATATGAAGGAATGAGGGTGGTTTACTGGAATCTGTGGGTGTTAGCTGTGAAGGTTAGAATTGGCGAAACAAACTAATGTAGTTGGTCTTGAAACCTTCTAGGGAAATAGCAATAGACCAGTGAAACGCTTTTAACGTTTCGTCTGCAGGGGGAAGTGGTTGTAAGGTGGAAAATAATTCCTCACCCACAAGAAAGCTAATACGCTTTTCGACTCTCGAAAGATTGGAAAGTGAAGACTGGACAGCTCCATATCGCAGCAGTACACCATTCTTTGGCTTGATCCGGCTCTAGAAGATAGCAGGAGGAGCCAGGAATTTACAGCTATTTTTCCAGCATTTTTAGCCATGGGTCCTATGTACGAGATAAATACAAATATAATATTTTTAAGCTGATTCGTAGATGAAACTTTTTGTAATCGTTCCGTCCACTCGTCAGAAGGTTTTAGTAATTGATTGCCGATTTTCTCATTTTCCTTATTTTTATACTAAGTCAAAAAATAATTTAAACGCTATTTATTGGTGTTAGGTAGATTTTTTCCTTTGTGTGTGCGTAAGGATGCATGTGTGCGTGTATATATATGCGTATGTGTGTGTATGTGTATGGTGAGCATTAGCCATATTTTTTTTATATTACTCAAAACATAAGACGTTTGAATGACGAATACCCAAACACGTCATGTATTATATATGCAATGGTTTTCCAAAGCCAAGAAATAATGCGAAATTTGCATAAATTTGCATAAATTATCTTGAGATTCTTTTGTCACTTTTTTATATTTTTATTTAAATTCGGTCTTTAAATGCATTTTTTTGTCATTATCCCAACGTTTTGGTGTTCTTCTTTAGATATTCATCGATCCCGGGAACTTGGGGGACATTTAAACTGAAGCATTTATTTTATGTTGATGTTACACTGTCCTGAAAGTTACCCGAATCGACCAAAGGTCGGAGAACACATCGCCCGAAACGTTATGATAATAACAATAAAGTCATTAGTCCGAATATAAATAATGATCACTGCTCATTCCAGAAAATTTTTATTCTGAAATCGCCATATGAATTTAAATATGAAAAATATTATCGTTAAAAATCATTTTCTGCAATTTACTTATAAAATCTTCGTTTTTATAAAGTTTGCTTTCTCATAATTTTCCGTTTTTTTTTACAAGCAACTCAGAAGCTTCAAATTAAACTTCACCTTTAGCTACAGTTGCCTAATTTCATTTCTCTAAATGAAAGACAAAAATGATGATTGAATTAATAGTGAATCTTGGAAGTTGCATAGAATGCTTGAAGGATAATATTTCTTTAAATTTAATTTTCGATAGAGATTGGATTTCAGAATAGAACTCAGAATCTTTCATTCCATTATTATCGTTGTTTCGAGTTTTGGTTAATTATAAAGTTTTTTAGACATTAATATGCATTATACACACACACACACACACACACACACACACACACACACACACACACACACACACACACACGTGTGTGTATGTGTGTATTAATACTTTGTCATCGAAGTTTTCTATTTGAAATGCACTGAAAAATGTTGAAGTAGAGTTAGCAAATAAAAATATTTTCTGTTTTGACAGAATAATTACTTTCTGCAACAAAGCCGACGAGATCTGTTCTTTCAAATCAATATTTCTAGATATTTGCTGTTTCTATCTATCTATCTATCTATCTATCTATCTATATGCATAGTTTATAAATATAATAATGGATATATTGAATTCAACACTGAGCGGCGAGAGACTGTTTCCTGCTTGAACGTAATTGTCAGGCCTGAAAAAGCCTGTCGGCTCTTGGTGTTGACTTCAATGTCCACTTTTATATTTGCATGCGTTCTCTCCCTGATGCTTATCGCTTTAACCCATAAAAATAGCATTTCACCGTTTTGTTTTAATTAAAAAAAAAATAGGTATGCATGTAGGCATCGGAAAGAAGTAAGTGTTTCAGGAAAGGAGATATTTAAAAAAAAAATCAGCGGTGCAGATTTATATTTTAGTAAGATTCGATAGCGACACTCTCAAGAATTTTTCATCTAAGTAAGTTACTTCCTCTCTTAATAAGTGTAGTATTCTTTAGATCGAAGTTGTAGTTGAATTTATTTCTACATAGGACAAATAAATTTTATAAATTGTTATTTATAAGATTTTTTTGTCTTCATAGATACATTTTTTTAAAATTTCTGCAGTTTTCCCTAATATAGTGTTAGGATCAATTGTCTCTTTTATATATACCTGACCAGAATAGTTCTGACCATATCTGTAAAAGTTTTGGATGTAGTAAGAAATTATTTTTATATTGTTTAAATTAGATAAATTATTTTGAATAATAGATGTTAAGTATTTAGTAGGAGTTTTGTGTCTGATTTTATCCAGTGCTTATCGTCATTGATATTATATTTTTTGTGGCTGTATATTTAGTAAGCATTTTGTAGTAAAAGATCTTTGAAAGGATCACTTTCTAGAAACCATCAAAATAAACAAGCCTATAGGGCGCTAAGAGAGGAACCCATCGGTAACCCAAATGTTTGTCTATAAAATTTGTTATTGAAGGTAAAAAACCATTGTTTAGTGAGTATGGTTTGGTTTGTTTTGTTTTACGGCATATCAATCTCAATGGGTCATTTAATGCTGACAACTTTTTTTTTCTTGGTAATATTTTGTTTTGTCAAAAATCTATTTGTGGTAATATTTTTTCCTCAAAAATGTATAGCTGGTAATATTATTTTAAAAATGTATTGCTAGTAATTTTTTTTCAAAAATATATTGCTATTAATAGTTTTTTCCTTCAAAAGTTTATTGCTGGTAATAATTTTTTGAAAAGTATTTCTGGTATTAAATCTTATTTTTACACTTTCATAAGGCTTTTTACCTCAGTTTCGCGGGTAACTATTTCCCCATAGCTGGGATCCTAACAGGTGCTACCACCCCGGGTCAGGGTGTACCTGGGAACACCAGCAATTAAGAGGTGGTTCCACGCTCCTCAAAACCTCCTAATCAGAGGCTTTGCTGTTGGACGTAGTTTATCGTCTTACCCAGGACATGGATGTAGTTTATCGTCATACCCAGGACGGGGTTAGTGAGTAATTCATTTCTATGATCCTATGCGTAAGAAGAGGTAATTTTATTTTTGTTACATGTGTTTCTAATAAATTAAGGCATTCCTTTACGAGAACATTTGTATATAAAGATTTTTTGTATTTGAACTGGTCATATACAGTAGAATATCTCATATTCGGAGTGCCTCATATCCGGAAAGGGGTTTTGATGTGTATATTTGAACTATTTGTGTGATATGTAACTGATTTGAAATTTCTGTTTTTTTACTTTGGATAATTGTTTATGCTTATTTCACTCTAATAGCTTGTATTGGTGCAAAAGATGATGGGAATAAGAGGAACAGAATAACTTTGGAATTATCGCAAAAAGTAGAAATTTTAAACAGACTAGACTCTGGTGAAAGTTCATTGTAACTAATGGCTGAGTTCAACATAGGAAAGTTAACACTGTATAATATAAACTCCCCCAAAGAAACTATTCTCCAGCGTTCACACTGTCACAATGAACAAGGAAATAAAAAACATGATTGAAAAAAACCTGGACTGAAATTGAAAAAAGCTATTGAAAAGGTTGTCAGTTTTATGGAAAGAAAGCCAGCATAACGCACGCAGAGTTAAAAAGTGTCTCGTTTAAAAAATTCAAGAACAAAAGCAAAACGAAATGCGGAAAAAGTTGACAATGACATTAGAAGAGAAAGAATCATCATGCAACAATGATTAAAAAATCCTCGTTACATTATTTGTTTTTGCATACGTGGCATACTTAATGTTAAACCTGATTTCATTTCTTTTATTTTAACCAAAGTATAACCCCTCATATCCGGACTTTGTAACCAGTTCCTCATATCCGGAAAGCCTTCTTAATCCGGTTGTCAGGGATTCTACTGTATTTGTTTTATTTAAACTTATATGAAAGATCACCTCTTTTTTTTTTATATATGCAAAGGCATAATTGTGCCCAGTAGTGGAGTTAAAATATTAGCTAGTGTGCCGGCTGGTTTAATTGGGGATGGGATGCTAACTATTCCTGATACAATACGTCTCGATGGAGTATATGATTTATAGAAGTTTGATAATTCATAGATTCTGGATGTTTTCGGGAGATGTTTGATTCATTTTAACCAGGAATCGTCTTCATTTTTTTAATATTTATTTGATTTGATGTTTAAATCTTTTTGTCTTTTTTATGAACTTGTGTTCGTTTACATTTTAATAAATATTGTCGTCTTCGAGAAGGAGATTCATTTTTTTGTTGATATGCATCTATATCGATAATTATTGGCAGGGGATATATGAATGTGTATATCCTTTGATATTTCTTTCAGGGCTTTCCTATATCTGTGGTGAAGTGTAGCTTTCCTGTTTTTTTTCCTTCAAGTGTAGCTATTATTAAACCATGGATATATCTTTTGCTGAAATCTTACTCATTATGTTGATAGATTTTTTTTTATAATTAAATAAGTAATATCCTATTTCTGCAATCCAGTGGCAAATTTTAGTTTCCAGTTGTATATCCGATTGTTTGTAATTGGATAAGTTTGCAATTCTGCCTTTTCTGTCGACTCTAGACGTTTTTCTATTTTATTGTCTTCATTCTTATTGTCATTTCCCACATATAGATATATCTAAACATTTTCACACACACACATACACACATAAATATACATTTAATATATTTGCTGTTTATACGTTATTTTTTATAGATATAAATGACCTGTTTTTTAATTAAACAGTATTAATTAAATTTACCGGCCTGAATGTTCGAAAATGTTCGCAGTCTCCCCCAGGAATCGAACTTGTAACCTTTATATATATATATATATATATATATATATATATATATATATATGGATGGATGGATGGATGGATGTTTCATTGAATACGACAGACAAGGTGCTTTGATTTAGTTTTTTATGCAATTTCTCATTTGATCTTATAATTTTTTTTCGGAGGATAAATTATATAAAACTGTCCAATTGTTCTTTCTTTCCGAGCGCTTTCGGCTATACATTTAGCCATTTTTAAGGTTGAAATATATTAACTGTTATCAAGAAATAGATTGTTGTATGTATGTATTTATATAATGTTTTCATTTTCAAAACACGGTCAAGATATTGTATCCATATTCATAGTTGATATTATTGAGTGTCGTATTCAATGAAACGTGCACGAAAGAAGAATTTGAGTTTCACGCATATGTGTCTAATAGTTCAACGTTATCATATAATTTTATGTTGACGTCTCTTGTCCTGTCCAGCAGGTAACTCAACCTGTTCACAATTTGAGCAACTGATGCTGTTGTTAAACAACGCAGTGTTTAATTTCTATTTTTGAATAGTTCTTAAATCTCTCAGAAGCATTATCTCTTTCTCTATTTATGGAATAAAAATTCTCAGAAACATTGCATTGAGACAAATGGTTCGCTGATCACTTGAGGAATGGAATTAGCAATCACCGTACTGTCTGTATCAATCAATCTAAATGTATTAGATTGATGCAAATGTTTTCAGCATTTTTTAAAAACAAATTCACTTCATATCGCTTCTTAACATTAACGTATATTCCATAATACATAATGGTTTAATTTATTGAATTCGTCGATATCTTGTATTTGAACTAGTTTGGAGACAAGAAGATAAAACTAGTCTTAGTCTGAAGGTATCTAGTGTGGGTAATAAGACGGACGCGCAAAGAACTTTCTTCTATCCAGCATTGTTCATTGCATAGCATTTCAAACGTGAGAACGGATGACTTCCGGTAGTAAAATCGTCAAAACCTAAGTTATTTACTGTGTCAATTCGTCATCCGATTTTATGGCATCATATCAAAATAGACATTTCATTCAAATTCAACACCAGACCGTGAAAAGAGGCCAGGTAAAGGGTTGACCTGAGATTACTCAGTCAGCGAATGCAGAAGCACGTGACCTCATACCCGCATCCAGTATTTCAAACGAGAGCAGTCATTTTTCGTAGATCGCGGACAGAATGCGGATCCCGCATGTCAGACCAGGCGGTATTAGGGTATAATGCTACGGAAATCTAGCATCACAGACCGGCCCAGAGTTGAAGAAATGTTGGAGTGAATAAAAGGTAATGAAGATTCACATCAGCACGCCAACATTTGATAGGCCAATAATTGTTCTTTTAGATGACATACTTGTGCTGCATTTTTAATACATTAAAACAGGATGCACATATTTTGCTGGAGGATTTCTCACTCTCTAGGCCGGTAAACATTAATTGATATATACATATATATATATATATATATATATATATATATATATATATATATATATATATATATAGAGAGAGAGAGAGAGAGAGAGAGAGAAAGATAGATAGATAGATAGATAGATAGATAGATATACATAAAGAGACAAAATGAAAAACTATTCTTAGACGACTCGTTTTGTTTTCTAAGGAATTTTATCAAGGCAATGTAGGATTTATTTTGTTGCACGTGTTTATATACAAAAGCGAGGATATTATTAGTTTATCAAGTTTTTTTTAAATATGAGAACAATATATATATATATATATATATATATATATATATGTGTGTGTGTGTGTTTGTATACATGTATTTTCTGTTATGTGCAGCATTCCTTCAAGACGTGGGCGATATTGACGTC